AAAACGGGAATTCGCGCAACGACTGCATAGTGCTTTTATGAAAAAAACGAGCCCACATGCAACTTACACGTAAATAGCATTCACACACGGACGACTTAATGGCCGAACCAATAATAGAGGCCGGCAGACCCACAGTGAATATAGGGAAGAGACCGACATCTTCCCGTAAATGGCCAACTACAAATTCAATAACATGTAAAATAAGACGCATACTGTAATTGAAAACATTTGGATACATGTACCGCTGCAGCCCAATAAGGTTCCTTCCGAGAGTAGGCGGCTCAAACTCGTGACCCAGCTGCAAGACACGAAGTGAGCAAAAAAGGACACAATTTACCATCATAAGAGTTCGAGCACATACAAACGGATGACAAACAGTTGAAAGAGCAGTGGGAATAACAAAGTCGTAGCAGAACTTTGTAACTGACCCATCAGAAAGAGCAACGCCTGACATCGTAGGCCAAATTGGGCTAGTTGTGCTCAATAAGGCTAGTATTGAATAATTTTAACTAGTCAAATCCGCGTTTAAGCTTAAATAAGATACCACTTTTTCATTTACGATCTGTTGTAAAACTTTTTCCAAAGTTAAAATAACATATTTTGCGCTACTTTGTTGAAGGATTTAACATCGCAATACCGCCGAACTAACCTATCGGTTTGGTTTCATCATTTTGTTTATTTGGAGATTTTGTAGATCAATTCGAGAAAGTGGCCAAGAAAATGACATCCTCAGTCATTTAATGCCAACATTTAAGCAGCGTGTGTTGATATCGAGTAAACAATTACAAGTAACCCCAGATTTCTTCTACCTCCCTTCTACCGCCCGATATCCGATCTTCGGGAACTTGGCAGCCAGAACACCCCGTGCGACACTTATGGACTTGGCTACCTGTTTTGCACAACAGCCAACCAAGCCTAGCAACCCGAAGTCCCCGAAACCCAAATGGGGCCACAAGAAGGGATAAAGTGAATTCACTTCCCCCTCGAATAGGTCAAACACAGATTTCATTAATGCAGCCAAACTACAATGTCCATCTCTCTGCCTGCCCACCTCCTTTCTCAATCCAGCCTTCGCCGAATCTCATGTTGGACGCAGTAAACGATAGCGTTGAGGAAGCGGATGAATCCCGTGTCCATCGGTTTGTCCAGACCTCGAAATAGGCGATTCTTCATCACCTGCACGAACTCCTTGTAGCTCAGCTGACCGTCATCTATAACGAAAAGGAAAGACTTACTCGTAGCATGTCCTACTTGGGACTTCGGGGAAGACTCAAAGCGCTACATATTTTGATACGACACTGTCACCTGGAAGAATCGGGTTTACCTCCGTTCCCCCGTAACGGTGGCTTCTTGTCAAATCCAATGCGTAGCAGTAGAAAGTGCCGGCCAGAAATAGTACAAGAAATAATTTTAATCCGGTGATGTCTCAACGATGCCACATGACTAAAAAGGCCCCCTATCCTAGATAGTGAAGAACAGCGCGTCGCCGCTGAAGACCTGCCCAGGAGAACATTTGAATTTTGGGATAGGAATGGGAGAGGTTGGGAGGGGGAGGTAAGACACTGCTTAGCCTCATCCTCAGTCAACGAAATGGGAAGTGAATGATGAAGGCTTCGAAAGTAGCTCTATTATCGCACATAAAGATTCACGTAAAGATGAATTGGATAAAAACGTCACTCCTATCAAATTTTTTGGCTAAACAAAGTGACGTCGCTCGCAGAGAAGGCAAGATAGACATGAATGGCTTCCAAAAAAATATTTTACTGGGATTCCAAGTGACGGAATCGTGGAATTTCGAAACCCTTCCAAACAAACAAATCTCTAAAGTCAAGATGGTGTAGGAAGTTGTCTGAAGAATGTTGAAAGTAGAGAAAATTTACAGGTCAAGAAATCGAGTAGTGGTATCATATGTACAAATTCATCAAAACAAGGTCCCTTAACCAACAAAATTAGGATTACCAGTTTAATGACATGAAGTGATGCAACATTTGTTTTAATGCATTAGTCAATTGCGCGGGTTCCTTAATCTCCTCGGGCTGTAATTCCGCCTTGGTAGTATGGCCAAAGTGTCATGGCACTCATAGCTTCTTAATGCTTCTGTGAGTGAATGATAAAATCCCTTTCGCAGTGCTGTGGTTTATACTGACCTCAAGGAGAGGTAGGATTTGGGATTCTGTTGGCTTATGAACAAACTCAGGATAGGCTAAATTGAATCGAGAAAACAGCACATTTTGGAATGGCCAGATTAGAAGGAATGGACCTTCCATTTTATTAACCAAGGTAACTCAAGGAGTCCGATTCATTCGGGAAGGTGGCAAATCGTTTTCACGAGTAAGCAAATGAACCCCTTACAAGCATAGAGGGGGGCTTGACAGGTTCCGAACATTAAAATCATCAAATCACAAAATGAGTTACCTTCGCATGAAAATGTAGGAGGCGCCTAGATTCGCCTACTGATAAAGCGATTGCTAAGCAGATTAATTGCTCCATCGTTCAAAGTGTGTAAAAATCCTTGAAATTGACCCCTGGCCTTCTTCGACAGGCATATCCACAGGCCCAACCACCTATTCTACAAAATGAATGTATTCACCGACTTACGAGTGATTAGGTCGTGCCAAATGCCCACCTTTCTCTTCAAAGAAAACAAATTCTAATTAAAAAGAAACAGAGTGAAGGAGGACAACTCGAGTCCAAATCCGTGACATTGAAAATAAGACTATTTACTCGTCTAACAAAATAAAAGCACCTAATCAAGTTCCAGGCCTACCATTTTCGTCGAACAGTGTGAACACGACATCCACAAGATGGGGTGTCAACTCGACGTGAGCAACAACCTTCGAGACATGGAGGAAGGTGGCCGGATCGATGGCGGCACCAGCCAGGGTGTGAAAAGTGAGCGCTGTGTCCAACTCCGAGACGCAACGCAGAAGACAGGTGAAATCGAGGAATTCTTTAAATGTGATACCCTACAGAAAAAGAGGGAACACGAAAGTCTCTCGACAGGGCAATAAAGAGGTCAAACAATTTGTTTATTTATTGTGCCTTCCGTTTATAACTTTATCTGTCAGTATTTGTGTATAACAATCCGTAAAACTGCTCATTCATTCATGCAAAGACATTTTTTGACACTCCTATCCAATCACACGCCCGTTACACAATCACCCATTCAAAACTCTTCAAAACATCTATTCATGCATTCATTCATTCTTCAACCCATTTCCTATCATCTCTCCATTCAGTAAATCGTCCTTGCAATTATTCCTCACATATACATATTTATATCTATCTATTTATCCATACGATAAATAAAGCAACATTGCTGACCTCATCAATCCATCCAACCCGTATTCACCCATACATCTACCCATCCATTCATCTATACATCACCTGTCAATTGCCTCAAAAGTGTGTAGCAAAACGTATGCACTAAATCCGTCATTTAATCATCCTCCTACCGTTCCCAAACCCACCCATCTCCACTGCTGATAGTTAATCCCAGCAGCTACCCCATTCATTCATTTATCCCACCGTCAGTTTTTTGATTCAATCCTCCATCAGCCCAAACATCCACTTTTTTTGCTATTCACTCAATTGGTCACCTATCCAGTAGGAAAAAAACACCTAAGTCCACCTCTTCATTCATAACTCACGTGTCTTCATTTTATCTATTCATCCACTCGTTCGACAAGTCAACTGTCTATTTAAGCATTCCTTCCTTTAACCATCCGTCAATCTACTCATTTCTTCACCAAGTCGATCAACCATCCAAACACTCATCAACTCATTATTTCATCTGCCTGTCCGCCTGTCTATCCATTCTACCCAACTGTTCGTCGAACCATCGCTCTATTCGGTTCTCATTCACCTGCCAGGTAATGCATAAACCCACTAGCTTATCCACCCCTTCAGCATATCGTTCGCCCATCCAATAATCGCCCAGTCAGCATAAAAATAGAGGCTACTTCCTTGACAGTCAAGCATTCATAATACACCGGTACCATAGTAACGAGATAATGGCTGTGGATAAAACCTCCGAAAGCTGATGGATAAAAGGTCTCTCATTAAAAGAATTGACCGCATAAGTGAAAGAAGAAGAGATACGATCACAGTAATATTAGCAGACGAAATTTTGTTTACGGAAAATACCGCCAAATGGTCCAGCAGATAACTCCCGACTGCGAAGACAAGGGAAAAAAGACCTAGAGCGTTCATTCTACTCCAAGAATTAGAGGGAGATGCTCAGGATACGGGAAATAAATCTACTCAACCTATCAACCCTAAAATTGACGGGTTGGTAATTTTAATTTGCTCCTCTTAAGAAGTTGAGAATCCCAGTGAAGGTAAACACATTAATTCAACGTGGCGGAAAAGGAGTGTCCGATCGCTTTACATAAATTAATCAGCTTTTGTCGTTGAATCTTAAAATCTGATGTCTTCCAAGAGATTAATGAAGGATGATAATTTTACCATCTTTTCTTGAGATCAAGGACCATTCAAGCATTATCCAAAGTGGAAGGCATCTCTGATTGGCCGACCAGTAGATGGTTGCAAAGGGATCAAAGGAGAAGATACCAATTAAGAAAAAATGGAGAGTCATTCAGTGCCTCATGTAACAGCTGTGTAGACTCACCACAGAAGTTTCGATATCATCCTCTGGGAACTTCTTCTTCACTCGTCGCAACATTAGTCGTCGCTTGTTCTCCGAGAACCCTGCATAAGTGAGCAAAGACTTGGCAAAAGCTTGCTCCGTAATTCGTCCCTCTTTGGGGGCGTAGCGTTCAAACTGAACAAAATTGAGAGAAAAAAATAAGTACAGACAATTAGTTAATACATTTAAGCTGTGGAGGACATGGTATTGAGAGTGCTGCACAATCAATGTCAGATAAAGGTCAGTGCACTTGGAGGCAATCAAGACGCCGAAAAATCAAAAACGTAAACAAAAACTACTGCAGAATCGTGCAAAAAGTACGTGGAAATATCCTTATGAATGATAAAAGTAAATTTGCCAATGTCCTGCTTCAAAGTAAGCCCAATATTTTACTCTTGAAAGTTGAAAAACTAGAAGCCAAATCTGATTGTAAAGCATATTTTCAATCAGAAATTCAACAGAACACTTTGTACTAGCCCCTCTAATTCACTTAAGGGGTGAAAAAGCCTGTAATAGAGTTGATTGTTGTGGTTGGATGAAAGTGACTATTGTGCTTCCCCCTCCGGATCAATACTTCAAGTGGTCCAAAAGTGGCCAATCAGAACACGACCTAGAGAGGTAATCTCCAATCCGATTCCCGGGATGATAGAGCACACTGGGTAGAACAGGAAGAATTTTAACCCAAAATTATTGACGTTAGAGCATTAGAGGCGCAATTTCTAACCAGATTTCTAGCCTTTAGTGGTCGCTGGGTAAGCGCTCGATCACACTCTTTTGTTACCTTATGAGCACGAAACAATAATGTAATGCTCTCCACTGCACCGGGCGATTTAATTCACTAACAAATGTTGAACTACTCCTACAGCGTATGTTTTCGTCTTAATCAAGACATTTTCACAGGCGACTTTGACTGGAACAGGCAATTATTAAGCACTCGACGACACACCCTGGACAAGGTGGCAAAATCAAGACACAAAAAGGTCACTGACCCTAGAGGCAGTTGAAAGTGGGGTGATCATGCGCTCGGCCGTGCACGCACTTACCCGCGTATCTTGCTGTAGCCTCTTGAACTGGGGTCGAAAAGAAACAAATGAGTAAATTCGCTCCTTAATTTAGCGCCCCTCAAGGTCATTTTGAGGGAGGGTAGAGAAGTTAAATAACGACAACGAAACGTCTCAAGACAGAAAGCTTACTCCTGAAACATACTTTAATGGATAGACTGACCCTTTATTTCCCTAATTTATTGTCAACGATTGAAAAAGACTCGAATTATAAAAGAAGGACAAAAACCGATCCAAATTCTTCCAACAGTTTCTCAATAAACGCTCTCCAAAGTCGAACTGAGGGAAAAAGTGGGGGGAGAATAGAAGAAGGCGGGAGATTTTCTATCAACAAATTCTTGTAAATTGACAAAAAGAGAGACATGAAGGCAATCTGTCAGGTCATCAAACAGGTAGCCATATTACGTTGGAAGAACTCGCAGGGCAACTGTTCAAAAGTGCATATCGTAGAGGCTAGAAATACGTCAGGCTATAGATACGGTGGGATTTCTTGTATTCACCACACCATTTTCCGCGGACTCAGCTGAACCTGATTGGTATGGCCCGAACTTGTCTATTCTAGGCTCAGCTTCAAAACCGGAGGAGATTTGGAGAGAATGTGAGGTATACTGTAGTGGGACGTAGTGCAGAGAAAATGATTAATCCTCCTCAAAGCTGACTGCATAGCGGTCGTGGCTACGTGACGAGAACAACTCTTGGGCATTTTTGACGTGAGTGATTGAACAATTTGCCCAGAGTCGCACCAACTGGACAAGTTGTAGCAGAAAATAAGCAAACTGGTTACAAATGTCACATTCCAAAGGCAATCGACTCGGTCTTCTCTTCTTCGCATCGCCTAAAATAATTTTGCAGTCCACTTTAGTTTGTTTGCCGACCGACTCAGTGGTTTGTGAAGAGAAACGCCCTTTTGTATTCTGACCTTCATTAAGTGGACAAATATAGCATCACGTATCTACAAACGATTCACTCACTGCACAGCACATGGAAGACACATCGCTTCACCCTCAGAAGACTATGCTTGCCTGGGGGCATGACAAACGATAGACGCAATCCTTTACCACGAATTTGAGGAAGAAAGTTCAACCCCCTACGAGACAACCCAAGACCACATACACTTGCAAAATTTACCCTTGACAAAGAGGAAAGGAGAATGGGAAGGAGGTAGTGCCTCATCCGCATACTCCGCATTCCCCTCATGTCATTCCTCGATACTAAACACTCACAAGACCACATGGGAAATAGAATAGACGGGCGGTAAGTAAAAGAGAGACAGAAATGGAGAGGACAGTTTGAAACACAAAGGAAAGCATTGGTAGATTCGTTGAATAGAAGTTCCCTTTAGGAAGATTTCCGCTTTGATTACAAACAACGCAGCCGGATGACATATTTTTCATTAGACATATTAAATGTTCAGAGAGATCAGTTTCAAACTCTCACCAGAAAGTAAATTAATAATTGATAGCCTAGCTTTCCTTTTCGAGTTAATAAAATACCGAACTCACCTCTAGCTGAGTAATCTCCTCTTGAAGTCGAGACTGAAACTCCAAGAACTTGGAGATTTTCAACTTCTGCTTTCCATCTGATCCAAAGAAGTAGTCGTGTAGAGCACTTTGGCTCACCGATTTCAAGGTGCTGCCTGTTGTAGAGTGATCTCGATGTCGACGACCCATAGCCGTGGTGTCGAGAATGACTCCACGAACCTGGTAAATCAAAAGAATAGACACATAAATAGGCAAAATTTTCCATTTATCCGTAGGCCAGATCTAAAAAGTGAATGTATGCAAACGAGAAAACCCGTCACTTTTTAGGACTTTGACCCCAGTTTTGTTTCATGTCAGGAGTGAGGGAGAGAAATGAATCGATTTAGGCCATTCTCCTTCCCAGTCTCCATGTGATGCTCTCCCGACCAGCCTCTGTTGTCGCCAGACGCAACGTGAAGTTTCTCGCTCTCAAGACGACTGAGTATGAATTGCTGATAAAGGTATTTTATTGGGAAAAAACAAGAGAACTTGGGCCCTTTGATGATGCCCATCCTTTCCTTCAACCTTCCACCCATTTTCACTGGAGAGGGTAATGATATGACTGAGCCTATCCAATGGCCGATTGTACCTGGCAAATTAGCTGCTCAAACAAAGCATGAACAACGAGATCAACGTTCTGATCTAATCTGGATAACTAAGTGGCAGGAGCACAGATTTACCGAATTACCGAATAAAGTTTCGCCCCCCACAGCCCTTAGAATGGTTTGTGAGTGGCTGCATTTTCGTAGTGGATACAAAGCACTGTAGACGGGAATTCCGTCGGCATACTTGCCCAGTATGCCGCGGCTGTCCAGCCGGCAGCACTTACGACCACGAGGAATGCGGAAAAAAATCATAATTGCGAGTGCCCACCCTACCAAAGTCTTGAGGGTATTCAGGCAACCGCCTAAGCAACTACCAGATGAGGAACAGGGCAAATAAGGCTGCTTTTCACAGTAAATACCGACAGATAAGGAAACACCAACCTATTATTTTATAACAGTATTCAAGAAAAGGTATTAAAGTAGCCGTATAAGTCCGAGTAACTCTTTGTAAGTCCTAGCCAACTCCATTTCTTTCTCAATCTCAACTGTCTACACTTTGCATACGACCATATGATCGTCTAGTGTCCAAAAAGGTGATGAACCTATCAAGGAACCCTGTCAAGGGACACGGAGGATGAGGCCGAGGGTAAGTTGAAGCAGTACCCCTTCCCACCTTAAGGTGCATATCTTCTCACGGGTCAGTTTTGTGGGATTAACAATGTGGCTTTTCCCCGTCTTTTGAAAAAAACATCTCCTGCCAACTCCTTAACTAATTTTGACTGTTTTCGATGAAGTTTTTTTCTTGCACAGGTTCCGTTGTATCGTATCGTATCCTACCGTAACGAGTAGCCAGGTCTTGGCTGTAATTGCTCCTTGACCATCCGTAAGTGAAGAATTCCCAGTGAACGGTTGCATCTGCAGGGAACCAAACGCCAAGCAAACATATTTCTTCAGGGAATGCAGTGACGCCTATTGTCACCTGTCAATGCAAGCAGAACCATTTGTTTAACTTCCAAGACTGTTTCACCATTTACGTTAAACATTCCTGAGAGCCATCGACAAGGTGATCTCGGTGGTTCCCTATTCACTGTCAAGGGTAAAGGATCATTTTAAACTTCACGCCTTTTTAAGAGATTCGCCAAGAGAATGAGTTTTAGATCACCTCAAATTGACGAGTGTGACAGAAAAATAATTTCAGAATTGAATTAACCAGACAAGGGTGAATCACACATCACCTTACCACATCAAATTCACTGGCCTCCAATTCACCATCTCCATTGATATCAAACATGCGGAAGGCAATTTCAAATTGTCGTTGAGGTGCTGAAAAATGAAACGGACATGCGCAGTCATTTTTGAAAGAAATAGAGTGCCAGACAGATGAACAGATAAATGAACATACAGATAAACGGACAGAGAGATGGAAACTACATACTGGATATCACGGTTAGGAGAAAAACAAAGTCGGTGAACGAAATCAGAGCGTTATTGCCAAAGCAATAGAAGATTGAGTCTTTCGGAATGTTCAGATTCAACTGGTCCTTCTATAAGGGAAAAAAGAAGGTATCCATTGGCGTTAAATTCTTGTGGTTTTTGGACAAAAAAAGCCGACAAAAAAGGGCTGTAAGTAAAATAGTTTTCAAGTCAAACTGGGATCATATCGTGGCGGTACTATGCGAAATAGTGGCCTGTTGTCGTTGCTAATGCTCGGTGCACACGCTCGGGTCACATGCATAACAGTGTCAATGTCAAAGAGTGTTTATGAATGATATTTCGTGTGACCAAAATTGCAAAACCTGCAAACATCCACCCAAATTTAGAGAAGCTTCAAGCCGATGTGAGATATTCACCACAGTGACGATTCCGGTTGTCATGGTTCCCAGCCCACAGTTACAGCTGCCGCTTCAACGTGTAAAATGCATACCTCATCGATGTATAATCTGGCGTAAAATCGTACAAGATACGAAGCAATTTATTGAAGCGGTGGATATTTTCAATTCCGAAAAGTCAGTGGGTACTAGTGGATACCAAGCCATCCCTCCGCATTCGATCAGCAGAAATGCAGCATTGAAGCAGAGACTGCTCTAGGTCGGTTAATCTACATTGAAAAACTTTTATCAAGGCCATCCAGATATGGACTAAACACTGAGTCGAGCTTGCAAGCATGGCAGGGGACACAACATCCACTCCTTTTAACGAGGTCTTTTCTTTTATGAGCTCTAAAATAGCGAGCCGATCACAAAATTCCCGTTAAACTGGGGTAGGAGTTGAGTTTGTTCACTATGAAGAAGCGGAACACCCAAAAATGATTTGGGGTGTTTTTATTAAGGAATTACCCTACAAAAACACCACATTTGTGGGTCGTTTGCCGATTTATGAGGGGCAACCGATATATCAGAAGATGGCATACAATGTGTCAAAGACTGTCAAGCTGCTCATTGCTTCGATTCATAGTTCATTTTAAGGTGTTTGTTACTTAGCAGATCAACCGATTTGTAATGGGGATTTGTTTAATCCGGCCTTAATTAAGCGCAATGACATGGCATTGGTTGCCTTCAAATGAATCTTGTATCCTCCATCTACCCACCACTTCTAGGACTGCGCTTGCTTTATATCTAGTGCACTACAGAAGCCACCGTTCGCTATGAATTCTTCACTCACGGAAGCTCAAGAAGCGATTACAACTAGGATCTGCCGACTCAACACGGTGAGATACGATACAGCCTAACCTGTGCAAGAAAAACTTCTTTTTTTGGAAATAGGCAGAACTAGCTAATGGGTTGGAAGGAAATGCTTTCTTCACAAACCAGGTAGAGGTCTCATCCCTAACCCAAAACTGAACCATCAGAAGATCTGCACTTTAGGGTGGGAAGAGGTGCCCTTTCAACCTCACCCTCATTCCCACCTTTGTCCTTGGTGTCCGCTGACGAGTTTCTTGAAGTGATCATTACCTTTTCTTGACAGTGGATAATTATATGGTAGAAACGGAGGTAGTCGGAGCTAACTGTTTGTTTTGTCTAGCCTCTATCCCACAGTGAGAAAATTTTCAACCGATGTACGCAAAGGCGTTTCCTGCAGTTTACCCTTCCACAGATCCTCTGTCTAACATCAGGGTATCGTTGATATTTATTCTGACAGTCAGTCTATTAGGGGTGTGGCTCCTGGAAAAATGGTTTTATCTACTTCTAATGTAATTGCTTCCAAATAGTCAGTAATCTTCTCGGTAGGATTAAAAGAAACCTTCTAAATAGGTGTAATTCTGGTAATCACCCAAACTCTACGTTAATCCGGGTATTGGAGCTGCCCAAATTCAGTTATTTCCCAACTAACCTAGCATATCAAAAATTAAAAAACCGTTTCTATTGTGAAGAAAAGTATTACAATTGTTAAAGACGTCCTCATCTTTTACCACAAATGAATTGAGTACATCCCACCTGGAATCCATAATTTTAAATTCATAGCGCGATCGTATTGCATCTGCTAGTAAGATACGACATTTTTCTATGTCTTAACAACAAAGAAAGGAAGATAAAGTGGCTGACTTTAGGGCAATTTAGCCTTCTCTAAACAATTAGGGAATCTCCACATATTGCACACAGCTTTAGAATAGAAGACTACCTTCAGTCATTTACCGTTCGCCAGTTGAGAAGTACTTCGACATTCCGCGCATGTTTTAATTGCTTAGCTATAAGCTAGTCAGCTAGGCACTGCGCCTTTGATGCTTCGGGTTGTGTCCGCGATCGCAGATAGTTTGCCCCCAGTAAACGATCTTTGGACATTCCAACATCTGACTGCACAGGAGTTTTCAACATTCCGAGATTTTACCACAACTGGTCGATGAAATAGAGCGACTAATGTACCTAGTACCCCAGCCATCCTAAAGGTGTGTTTCATCACGTCTAGAGGGATGAACACAGAGTCCTAAATCTAGTGACTTCGACAACACCGACTCTTAACACAGCAAAACTTTGAAGAACTGGCCACTTTAAGGTAATAGTTCGAAAAACAGTCTCAGTTAGCCGCAATTAATAGTGACAATTCTATCACAAAGTAAGGCGGACCCGGCTTAACTGCTTTGTGTTAAACATCGTAGTTAAGCCGTTTAAGACCAAATTGAAACAAAACACGTAAATCACCCAGGTAGGAGGTCAAATCGTAATAAAACACACCGGTCAAGCAGCCCGGAAGCCAAAATTGACCTTCACTACCAAGCACATCGGTTGGTCTCACCTTGGGATCGAATTTGATAAAAGCATCGAGATCCAACCCATCAGGCTGTTTCAGACCGGGTGTGATGGCGCGAAGGAAGTCGTCTGGAGTCATAAAGACCTCTGAAGTGCCGTCCTCGTCTACACGCTTCAGCGTGGCGAAGTAGCGGAATATCTTGTCTGGGGTCGAATAGGCTCGAATGCGATCCTCATAAGCGATGAACTGCGAGCAATAGGCGGTGAAAGATTTTGGCAGTAAGGGTTCAGGCTGGTACTCGATGAAACCTACTCCGTAGGTTGAATTTACGATTAGTAAAAATGTTGCTTTTGATGACTTTTCAGAATTCACAAGTGAATCCAATTCAATCTAGTACAGTTTACCATTCTTGTGAAAGACTGCTAAACTCGAGATTCGTGAATGTTGCCATTAGTAGAATAGTTTATTTTTCCGTAGCGTAGAACCGTCAAGTGCCAAATAAACACAGATATGGACAAATAAAGATTCTGAAGGTCTCATGTTCATCAGGATTAAAACATCATTATTTCGAATTTACTAACTCCTAAGCTGAAAATTTCGTACACAAAACGAGTTATACATACTGCCTAAAGGTGGTTTATTTCAGTAAATCAAACGCATTCAGCAATTACGTAGACAAAAATTAACGATCATACTGTTTAAGAGGAGAAAATTCGACACCTGGGGCGAAAAAATACAGAAACACCAAACCCCGCAACTCGTAGAAAACAAGTTAGGTACATAGATGATGAGTCTTGACATATACACTCATTTCAAGCCGAACCAATCGCCAAAACAAGGGGCGCCAAATGCGAGAAAAAAGAAAATAACAATGCCATACAGTGTACTTGACCATTTTTATAAAAGGCGTGAACTACATAAGCGTTCGAGAAATGGGCTAAACAAACTGACCCATCAAAAACTAAAGATATGGGAAAATAGGGAGGATCAGATCAAGTTTTACACACCTTTCGTGTACGAAAAGTGTTCTTCACTTTTGGCTTTTCTCCAGTTTCCTCCTCGATATCTTCAATTTCCTTCTTTGAGTGATATTCCGTTTGACAGTCAACCTTGGTCGGCTTGAGATTCCCCTTTTCCTTCTGACTCCATTGATCTACTTTCGTGTCTAGCCAATCTACACTGAATTTCGTTATTTTGCCATTTACTGAATCCATAACATACCCGCCAAAGTAAGTAAAGTAAATCCCGCCAACAGCGAATAAGCCTAAGAAGAAGCGTCCTTTGCCGATTGTCCTCGGGTAGGCACTTGAAAAATGGGTATACCGATTCCGATATGTTTGATTGTATCGCACAGATATTTGTGAAGTTACCGCTGCGGGATATAAAACAGATTGAGGTGGGGAAAATTTCGACGGGCATCCAATTATGAAGGCGCGCAACCCTGTTATCATTACGATTCCAAAATCAAAGCAAACTGAGAGTAATGAAGGAAGCAAGAAAGATTGGGCAAAAAGCAGTTATTTATCGGGCTTCCAGAGGTGAAGCTCCGATTCCATCACAGGCGTCAGCCCTCAAGGTCATGGAAGGGGTATGGAACTTGCATATATTCTATACCAAAAATTAAAATTACCCAACTTTTGCAATTTTTTGACTCTATTCTTGCAGAAAAATTTTTTGTAAATTTATTTTATACACAATTATAAATGTATCATGTTAAAAAATTGTTTTACAGTCAATTGATTTTTAACTTCAAAATAGCCTTGCAAGCCAATCAATCCATAATTTTATGCACAGAAAATTAATTAGCCTAATGTCACCACTGCTTTTAATAAAAAAAATTAAGATACATTTTGTGTGGAATAAATTTAAATGTTAACTATGCATTAAAACAAATAGTTAATTGTCCCTTACAGATGTAATCACAAGAGGAACAAATAGACAGGATATCAGTGGTGCTTTTTCATTCATGATGTTCTTTCAATTTTCTATCCCAAATTGAAATATGGATTCATACAAGCAATTCCTACGTATTTTCATGATCTGTTTTATTATATTCTTGGCGTCTTGAGTGTTTCTTAAGATATTAATAAGTTTTGCATGGCATATCATAGACCCCGCCGTCACTGGTGCGAGTACATGCTTAGGACCCAACCAGGCCTTTTGAATATGGTGCCTTCTCACAGACCGCTTTGTTAAAAATATTCCTTTTTGAGAGGTATGCCTGAATGATGTACTGTGGGGAGCATGATGTGTTTCGGTGACCTTTTTCTGAAAAAGTGGGAATCGCTTCGCTGTAAGATCTACAGTAGACATTTAAATACGACCGACTGCGATTCGTTGAGATCAAATCCCTCTTTCCCAGCGTAATTGTGTTGATCTCAAGATTGAGGAGTTGTCAAACCGCTTGCTTTAGCCGCAGCCGACTGTAGTGGTTAACTTCCACCTGTAATTTTTAATCTGTGTAGCTGGCTGGCATAATGAGGAGGGACCTCTAAAGATGAGATAGAGGTATCATTTGTACACTTTGTTCGCATAGCCTAGACACCTTCACGTAGACCCTCTTTTTTGTCCAGGCCGCTTCATGTGCAGGTTACCACCTTCCAGAACCCAATATTCGGAAGTTTTTCAAAAGCATACTTGATTTAAACTACCCTTCAGTAACGGGTACTCAGAAATCTATTCTTTATTCTCTGACACCAAGTACTGGTGAGCAGAGTGACTGTCCGTTTGGATCGAATTCGCTTGACTCTGCCATCAATTAAGGAACCTGGGTTTCCTCTGAGGTCGTAGAAAGTCATTCCGGTACTGGAAGAAGATTTTGTAATTATCACCTGAAAGGGCTATTGAGCTCCTTGTCACGCCCGATGGTCTATGCCACTGGACGAGTAAACAACCCGCGGAGACTGGAAAGTCCGCGTAATAAACATAGAATTAAACAAAGTAATGAATCACTTAAATGAGCTCTACTGCATCCGGGCCTAGTTTCTTTAGCGTTCAATCCACAGCTATAGTCCCACTGGCCATTACAGTGATATTTTATTACGTCTTCTGGAAAGACTCAGTCTGCTACATTGATGTTAGAAATAAGCTAGCTCAGTCAACAGGAACACCAATTTAAAGAAGACACCAAAATCCTAGAGAAATGTCACAATGGAAGATGCAGGTCGTAAAGGACTGAATCCACAACAGAGAGGCTATCAAAGCCTCGCCCGTTTTCGGCAGTCAGATCCACATTTTTCTTCCTGTTGGAAACAAATAGTAACTATGGTGTCGACGGACCACTCTGATTTAAAAACGCCCATCACTGTGTAGCTAGGAGAATTGTCTCATGTTCCATGTATTATGTGGATGAACACAAAACTTCATCAAATTTTCCCCTAGCTTGATGGAATTTAGGCTGTACGGTAATGAAGTAAAAAATATGTGGCGTAGAGAGGTAGACGGAAATTACTAGCCCTGTAAAGCAACCCAAAATTCTGCCTTTTAGACAACTTTCCTTGTGATTAGGGATTAATGCATGGAGCGAGGTCGATGGAAAGCATGGTCTAGTCATAGGCCACATCAAAATAGTACGTGAACCCACTGAAATAGACCAAGAGCCCGAAAAGGGCGGCTCAGTTAAAATTAGCGGGATATAGCACAGACATCCTCCCGTCTCCATGACAGTTCCGTGTCTGTTGTCTCTGGCTCCCGTGTTGCTATGCCGTAGGGAAGTAGGAAGAAAGGGGACTACAGATAGCAGAAGGCAGGGCGTTTACAGGAGGGAAAGAAAGAACACCAGTGATTGAAAGTCGGCTTCAATTGTATCTCCAACAACGAGTGCTCTTCAGGGCCCACCGATTTTGGATGCCTTTACGGTGCCATGAGAATCTCTATGGCTTGAGCTGATCAGCTCTATTACGGCCTCAGGCAAGGCATAGAGATCTAAAGTGATCATCCTGCGAATAAACCAGCCGCAGTCAGATAGTACAGAGAGATTAAAACAGTTTAAATCAGTTTTAGGCGGCAAATACACATATTTTAGGGGGAAAAAGGAAACCTTAAGTGCCTTCTAACGACTTTTTAAAAAGTAATATGAAAAAATGTTCATATTCTCTGCTCACCGACTGAACCACCATTTAATAACTTGATAATCGGATGATTTTCTTGCACGGTAAACAACGAGGTGTTATAATGTGGTAGACATCCATCAAACCTTTCCTATTCCGTTTTCGCGAAAACCTCCTTTCAACGAAAAAATTCCCTAACTCTCACTAGTACCACAGCAAAAGGAGGACGGGCAAAACCGGAGTATCGAAAGCAATTAGGCGAAAGTGATTCATCCCGGCAAACACCAGGTCAAGCATGGTCTAGGGACCAATTAAATCATTCATCTGGTACATAAATTACTCCCATTCCTAAATGCAACCGATTGGAGTTTCATGTTCTTCAACTTTAAGGTCAAAATGCGCATTTGCTAAGGCCACGGGGTGGAGATTGCCGCAAATAGTAACACTGGGATCACATGATGCCCAACTGCCAACTGGCACATGACCAGTTGTGCATAAGTTAAATCCCGTCCTCCGTTAGCCAGTAAAGCGCTCAAATCTTATCACTATTCAGCTCCTTGTGATCATTTGGGTTTTCCTGCAACAAAAAAACAAATACTCGATTAGTTACTCGGATCAGCAAGTTCAACTCATGCCTTGAAAAATATAATTAAAAAGTAAAAGCCCTTTTTTACATTAAAGACATAAATAATTTGCAAAAGGCCAATGCTCCTCGTGAATAAAAATTTGTTTTGCAAAACCCATTACTTGATTATTCATCGTTTAATGGGAAGACAATTTATTTTGCTTGACCCCTATTTACTAATATCACTGGATGAGTCACTTCATTTCCCGGAAAATAAAAAACAATGCATTTTTAAAATACTCTAACCTTTTTTATTACCATTACTACAGCATCGGCAGGAATGCGGGCAAGCAAAACCAAGTTTACCTTTTGATGTTTTAACTGAGGGTTGTTTTATTGTATAAGAGAATTCTCGGACTTATGTTGTCCTCTTTCTCCCACCTTGGTCAAACCAAATCGAGGTTTTTCATATGTTCGCCAGTGGAATGAATTTAGCCAAACAAATGCAAAAAAAGTATTGTTAGGCAAAAAGCAGAGGAGTAGCCACATGTCTCCATGTCTGATTGGTTGGACCAAGGTCACGGATAATTGCATAGTGGGTCAATCACTACGCTTGCGTGCGTATGCGTGTGTGTACATACGAGTGCGCGCTTTGCCACAACCTCGTGGACACGGTCAATACGACCTTGGACGCGCGTATGCACACACGCATGCAAACACACCCTCGTAGGTGTGGGTACGCGAATGAAAAACTCGATCGATGGCAGTTGGCTTGGTAACCGTGTTCACTGCACTGATAGGCACGTGCGCACTGAAAACACGCAAGACCAAGGTCATTTGCTCCTTTCTGATTGGTGTTTTCCTCGTCGCCTGGACAACTCGTCAGTCTGTCTGCTTTTTTGGAGAAGAAGACGGGGGAGGTAGGATGGGGGAGGTGGTGGAAAAGGGGGATTGAAGGCTATTTCTAGTGGTTTATTTTTAAAAATGCAAATTAGTTTAGCGATTTATCAAGATCTCCCAGCCTTAGGAATCCGCCTCTATACCATGGTGATTAACCTTTTGACCTGATGGATGCACTGGTGAGGCGATCACGTTGAAAGACAATAAAATGCTGCGCCAGTGCTAAAGGAAACCAAGTCAATACCATGCCAAGGAATTTAGATTTTTTTGAGATATTCGTTTTTGTCTTTTTATGTGGGATTGTTCACTCTCAACGTTTAAAGGAGCCGAACTTGGGATGTCACTAGTAAAGTTGCCTTCGTTTGGATCCGATAATGTACCTGCTTTACTAAAGTTAGAGTTCCACTTTTTGGAAATGTGTCAGATTTGGTATATTGCTAAAGATCGTTTCTTAGAGATGACTACTTTGCGAAGATTGCAACATTTGGTTACCCCTTAGTACAAAAAGCATGATAACATTACTCTTTGCATGTTGGCGTCCCCACCTTTAGCCTATCAAATCGAAGCTCTCGTCTTGTGGGAACGCATAGCAGGTAACTTGATGAGGGGGATTTTCTAAGTGCCTACATGAAATAATGAGCTTTAAATCTCATCCAGCGTTTCATCTCCATATCACATCAGCTTGAATATCCGCCAACGGCTACGGCATATGAAAACCTTGGCTAGCTAGCGCTAGCCAATGCACGCAAACCCCATCACCCCCTTCCCTGCGTTGTTAGGTGTTCTCGCGCGCCGACGCTCACGCACACACACACAGCTTCCCACCACCACCACCACCACCATAGCCGTTCGAAAGCAGTCGACGTTGCGCCTACCATTCAGCTCTCTCGCATTAGCTGTGGTAGAAGCAATAGGAGAGAGGCAGCCGCGCCGGCGACAGCAGCAGCAGCAGCAGCAATGCACACCGTGTGCAATGTGTGTGTGTGTAGCGCTCGCCCGTGCGTCCGTGAGAGTTTAGACGATTCCCGTTGGTAGCATACGCGGCCTTCCCCTTTCCCAACCACCAGCCAGCTTGACTACCCGCTCGCTCGCCCGCCTGCCTGCCTACCTACCTAACTACCTACCTACTTCCCTATCTCCACACAGCAGTTGCGAAGACTCCCCATCTTCTACCGCTGCTCGGCTTGTGGTAAGATCTGACAACCATTTTTCGCCACCTTGTATAGCCCTTCAGTTCTTTTTTTCTTCCAGAACCTTCCAAATTCGTAGCAGTGGGGTCTCCTCATTGACCAGAAAATAGTTTTGAGTCAGTAAAAAAACCCTACTCACCTTTAATTTGCCCTACAAAGAGCAAAAAGTTAAAAAAAAAAACATGAATATCATATAGGGGGATGAATTTGCATCTTTCGGTAAAAAAATGCTGTACCCAGAAAAAAAATAAACAAGCAGGAAGCCCCACCCCGCACTCGTGACCACCTTGTCTGTCAGCTTTGGCATCGATCTGTCACACCGGACGGTCGATAGTTCTGTCAGTGCTTTCAGCTGACAGTCGCGGACTTGAGCTAACGCTCCCTCCACTGCTTCATTTGTAGCACTCGCGTTTGAATCCGAAGGCGGTGAAGGTCTGAAACCAGGTGCCAATAATGTACATAGAGGTTTCAGTAGCGGTGAATTATCTTCTCTCCCATCTCTACACCAAATTGCCACGAAGAAGGGTGGATAATTTCGGCGAGGAATTGGAAAGATGCCTCTTGCGTAAATTACAACCTCACTGGTTCACCGAATCGTCCAGTCAGGATGGATCCCATCGGTGCTTTCAAACCAGCGGTCCACACACCGACTTCATCTTTCCCGAAGCTGCCATCTCCAGTGGATTGGAGTGGAGTGAAATTCAAGCCTGCCTACCAGCCGGTTTAGTTATTACAATTGATCCGGGTCATGTCGCCTGTCAGTATGGATCTAGTGAGTCCTCTCCGGTTATCTCTAATTCGGCTTGGGGTGCTGGAAATGGTTGCACTTCTGCGAGTCTCTCGTCTTCCGGCTGTTCATCGGCTTCATCTGTCTCTTCTTCAAACGGTTCTTCGGGATCATGGTCAAAAACAAAGCATCAAATTCTCTATTCAGCCACCCCTAGGGGTGGAAATGGCTACAATATGAGCGGAGAAAAGGAGCTGGATGCACCACTGAATGAAGTCGCAAAGAAGCAGCTGGATGATGTTCAAACCCATTTGGCTACAGAAGCAGCTCTCAGTGTTTTGACAGAACCGGAAGATGTTGCTTCAACCCAGAATGGATCAGATCACTCAAAGACTGGAATTAGTAATGAATCTATCACTGGTGTGGGGGATTCCCACGGCTATCAGGACACGACGGCTAATTCCGCTTCTGGTGGCAAGAATACTTCCACAGATCCTACCATAGATAGTAGCTTTCTGGACCACGGCGTCAACATGGAATCACAAGCGAAATCAGATGTTGAAAATCATTTTCCATTCAACGATTTTCACACCAAACCTCTACGACATGTTGATGAGGTGGGAGAGCTGCAACAGTTCGACTTCCACACCAATCAGCACAACCCACCCCCATTTACTCAACCCCCGACAACCTTTACTCAGAAGATCACAACGACACCGAGTTTTACTGCAGCAACATTTGCAGCCACCAAATTCGGTTCGACAAAGTTGAAGAATCAGGCAAAGCGACCCCATCGCCTTGTATCCGCCTGTGATCCACCCGTCTTGGGATATGCCTCACAGCTACTGGAAGCCATTGGACAGAACCCCCTCCAACCCAACCAGGTTTGCGCATTTTTGCTGCATCCACGCCTTCGTGATTAAGTCATCAAATGAAAGTTAATGGTTGAAAATTAGTTATTTTCCAAAGAAATACATGAAGTGTCACCTAATAGTATCATCGCGTCTTGTGTACCATAAGTGCTTTTTAAAATATTGATGAAAGAATTCCCCGTCCAGATTTAAAAAGGATTCATCCAGCAGGGTTTTATCTTTCAAAAGTCATTTATACACTACCGTGAATTTTTTAATGTCAGATACTTGGTAAAAAAGGTTTCGTTCCAATAGTATGTAAATAAGTAAGATAAAGTTAAATTTTACAGAAAAAAGGAGAAACTCATTAACTCAAAAACTCATACAAGCTTTAGTTCAGTAAAACAATGTAAAATTGGGTCAAAATTTGTGTGTAGAAACCCATTAATAAAAAGATTCTTCCTGCATGGAATTTGTACAGATTTAGATTAGGTAATAGGTTTTGAGGTCAAAGTAGGCGATGATTCTACTTTTGGCATAACTTCTCAATTCTAGAACTTGAGTAAATACAAAACTGTTAATTTCCTTATCTTTGAAAAGTTGTAAGCCATTATATTTAAACTTTATATAGTGCGGTGTTGAATTTTTCCTTGGCTAGTTAACGAACTGACTATTTGTGTTCATCTTCTGAAAAAAATCCAAACTTATTTTCCATGTTTTAGATGCCTTTGTGCGACCGTTTGATGCGTCTAAACGAGTTTCATCGAAACGGTGGTGGCCTCTACGCAGGTCACAACTTCGGAATGGACCCGTCAAGGGGTGGCTACTTCGGCAACTACCAACCGCTTGATCGTTCAGGCGACATGGCCTACAACAGCAGCAGTTATTCCAGCAGCTTCATGGACAGTGCGCCTGTAATGAGTCTCTACGGTAATTCAGATGCTCCCAGTGGTTATGGAATGCGTTCAAACAATCTGGTGAACAACCCTATGTGGTCACAGTTTGAGAAAATTCGCTCGGAATTTCAACTAAAGAATAGTCAGTACCTTCAACAGCAACAGCAACAACAGGAAAATTCATCTCTGTTAAACCGCAATCCAGGATTCGGCTTCAATACCATGGAAGGTAATATTTCCTCTGCCCGAAATATCACGGCATTCAATACATCAACTCCCAGGGGCGCCCTTCAACAGGCTGATGTAAAGTATGGTTTCGGAGACGATTTAGAGTTGAGTCAAGAGCTACATGACCTCTGGAGCTCACAAAAATTCACCTCTAATAGTGCAAACACATTCTGTTGGCCGGGAGATGTCAACAAGTCATCGATCGACACTTCATTAGGTCAAGCTTTCAATGCATTGAACATCACCGAGCGCTAGGGTGCGTGAACGTGTGTGCCTACGGTCCCAACATTCCAAGTTGAACTTCTCTAGAAGATTGTTGGTCATTCATTTCCTTTGTACCCTCCCTCTTCGTCATTTCATTTCCCCCATCCAGCATCGTTTGATCCGACTGAGGAAGAGTAGGCGGTGCCACAAACTCACTGCCTACTCGTCTTTCTCTTCCCCTTCTTGCATTTTATCCCATTTTTTCTTTCCCTTTATTTTAAAGGCGAACGCATACTCACAGGCACACACGTACTATGTGTATGAAACGACGAGTCTTTCCTATTTTTTTAACCCTTTCTCGTGATCCGCACAATGTCTTTTACTTTATACGGATAATTTTGTCCCATTCCCTCTTATTTAGGCGAATCGGTAAATCCCGCCCCAAATTTTCACATCCCTAGCCTGCGTAAAACAACATCAACATTTCTACTGGCGTATGTTCACAAACCATACTCTGATATTTACTAGATAAACAAAAAACAACAACCAAACAAAAAATATTTACCTACGTACCATCCTTGTCTCCTTGTTTCCATTTTTAACTTGTTTCCTTTATTTCTTCCTCCCACTTTCATTGAGTGAGTGCGTTGATTTTATGCGTTTGGTAAGTCCTCCCCTCCTTCATTCATGTGCTTCACGACGAGGAAGACAGAACAAGAAAAGGGCCAAAAACAAAGACGCGAAGACAGGAAACAACAACCACTACCCCCTCCCCTTCTCAGTCTCCTTTTGCAGCTATTTCTATAGCTTTTCCGTATCGGCAGACTTAATTTTTACTTGAGCTTGCGTACTTTTTCATGTTTATAATTAATGTATCACACCTACGAAGACACCACCGACCTATCAACCTAACAACTGTTAAAACGACGATAACCAAAAAAGCCAAAAAACTACTACTACCACTACTACTCCAAATGTTACCGCCAATACAATTAAAGAAACACATGTAATTCATTTCAAATATTTTGGCTTTACTTTTTTTCCTATCGTGCAGTGGTGATATGGTAATCCAATGAGGCTCATTGATTGGTTTGGCTGGGGCGCCCAAAATCTCATTGGCTAGCCCTTACCAGTGGAATAATTGGAAAGATTGTGTTGGGCATTTTTGTGCTGGGCCATATTTACACTTTGATGGTTGGAATAATTTAGCATTTGGTCGAATGTGTGTCGGCTTTTCACTCTTCGTGGAGGCTGGCATTCCGGTCGGCGGCGTGGCCTTTTGGTAGGGCGGATAACTTCCTGGGCCTTTTTAAAGTGAATGACAAATTCTCCCCTTCTGTGTGGCTTATTAGAGCCTTAAAAAAGACTTGGGGAAAGATAAAATATATTACCCATGGCTTGTAGTGCTTTTCCATGTTTCCATTAAAGAACACATCCAACCGGTTTTACAAGCAGAAAGAAAGCATGTGTGGTTCAAAATAGATTAGGGTCTTTAGTTGAAGAAATGTTACGAGTTTTTCGGACCAACTAAATGCTCCCAGCATTCCCCTATTTGGTGCGATTTCTTGTATAAGTTTCGAGTAAGAATATCTTGGCAAATTCAGTGGTTGCTTTTCTAATCACTTTGTTCCTTATTTGCACAGACGGTGTATGCTTAAAAAAAGGAGCATAACATATGTTGAATAATTTGCCTTTGAAGTAGACAAATGGATACCTAATTGGCTATATGTGGCCCGAAAATTGGGGCTTTAATGCCGTAGGGTATTGACTAGAGAAGAAGGTGGGGCGGAATCATACTGGTCAGGCTTGGACCAATGCGAAGTGAGGAGGTTATCGTTCCTCAGTCATTCACTCACGTATGCTGGTGGAGTGCATTTTATTTTTGCCAATTAATTTTCACCCTATTGCTTGCCAAAGTAGGTGCTGATTTCAAATTTGAAATTTGCCATTCCTTTTGAAGAGGCATTCAGCTATTTTTGTACATGGTTTGAGGCGATGGTAAGGCTTAGCCTCAACTTGGGATTTGGTGATTATTCATAGATGAATGTGATTATAAAAACAATCTGGTTAGGCCTTTTTAAATGAAAAGAAGGTTTGGAAATTAGTCATTTTACAAATTATTTCAGTTGTTGGTAATGAAGGATCGAGATCAGCCTTACTGGCCACTTTTGGCCAATCAGATTCTGAGGAGGGCGCCCATGCCATCGTTCATTCCACACTGATATGGAAGTCGCTAATTCACTTTTTTCTGTCTTTTATTTACTTTATAGTATCACATCAACCCGAATATTTCTGATGTGCGGAAGTAGTTTTTGCTGGTTCATTAAGAAAGATCGCAAATTAGGGGTGCTGAAAGTAGGGTGTCCACAATAGCAAAATAATGGGTTATTTGTTTACCATCAAGCTGTTTTCTGTTCATCATGTAAGGAAATTTTAAAAGTAGTAAAATGAAATAAGTTGCAATCTCATTTGACACCTTTCAATAATAAAATCACAAGTAACTATCTTAGGGAATTGTGTTTTTTTTGGAATCATTTGAATTTGGCAGGCTTCTCCTTACCTCACCGAAAAATGCTGTCTTAATCCGATTTGCAGTAGCCATCATCCTTGTCAATTTCTTCTTAGTGGAACGCCCGTAAATAAAATCACCTGATAATCATTGAATCTCATGGGAAAAGGTTTTATTCTCAAGCTCTTTTCTTCTTTTTACATTTCTGTGGTAAACGAAGGGAATATATTGTCAGGAATAATTTAAACAATGAGAAGAGTGGAAAGGAGTAAAACAGCAATCAAAAATACAATCTTTTAATGAAAGAATCCTCACTATTACTACTGTCGGAAGGTGAAACTTCCTCATCCTCAAAGACAATGAATCCGGGCACACCACACATCTCGCCCAACCATCCATCCACCTCATCTAAATTAGAGGTTGATTTTGTCATCCTTCTACCTCAACTCCTCTTTATCACCCTTTTGGAAGTATTAGTGTCGTCTGTCAAATCCATCGATGAATTGCATTGCTGTTTGTGAATTTTACCGGTATATTTCATCCTCTTCACCCTCCTCTTTTTCATCCGAGCATTCTTAGTCCTCTCACTCCTCTTTTGCTTGTCCTTTTCTTTGGCTTTTTGGGTGTTTTTATCCTCAAAAACAGCTTGAGTAGCCTTTTCCATAGCAGGGAGGAGGCAACGGAGACAATCAATGGCTTAGTTGCACTAAGAGACCGCTTTTAATAATAACGTGCTGAAACATGCTGATTGGATGAGTGAAATGGTGAGGAGTTTCGATGACAGGTGAAGCTTAAGCTTTGTTAAACATGAGCGATGCGCTTAACCACCCTGGATGTTAAGCTCTCACTATCGCCTTCGCCATTTTAATAACATGACATGATGTGACAGAACGGGACGTTGCAATTCGCTTTGCTTGTGTTGACCGCCCTGCGGCCTCTCCAAAGAGGCAACAACACCTTGCAATATTCGCACGGTTGGCCGAAAACTGGTGTGGATTTAAAGTTGATCATTAAAACTTTCCCACTCATTCGTAACTTCACGGAGCTTTTTTCCATGTCTTAGCTTATAAGTGTCTCCTATAAAATAACTTTGTCAATATCTCGGTAATGGGATATTAATCCCTCCGTCAAACAAGATACTGTAGGAAGAAGAAAAATGAAGTGCTGGAAGGATTCGTAACAAAAAGGTGAAAAGTGGAGTTCAAAATAGCCAGAAAAAGAGCTGTTTTACTTTTGTTTGTAGTATTCTAACTGAAAATTTTGTTTTTTTTTGTGTATAAAAGTTGACTGACCACCTCAGGGTTACGTGAGTAACATGGAATCAATACACTGGTCAAATAAGCGCCTAATCTTTTGGGTTTTTAAAAAAAATATGATAAATTCTTTTTATTTGCAAAGTTTTTTTTTGGAATTATGGACCCAAACTTTCGAAATTTTATAAATTCAACTTATGAGGACTATCATGGCTACCTAGGCTTCACCAAATCTAAGCTGAAGATGGAGATGGAAAATACGTCGAAAAGGAATGGGAAAGTGTTGTATATTTCTCATGCTTGTCATGATCCAAGTATCACTTTGACTAACTGAGCTTGTAAGGTTGATCTTTCGCTTTGAACCTAGACCCAAAGACCATGACAATAATCACTTTCCTAAAAAGTAAATCTTTAGCCTTAAGGAAGACTGGAATGCTACACTGGCGGCAGTGACAAGCAGACAGGATTAAAAGGAAAACTACTCTTGATCCTATGTTCCTGCAGTGCTCCAAGGCGTTCAGGGGAGTTGGAAGGTTGCTGGCCTAGCCCGGAGGCGAAAAGGTAATGCACCCCGTGAAATCTGCTGTATCTACGCAGTTCAAAAAAGCTGCTAAATCACTACAACTAATCAACATACTTAGGTATTTAAGAAGGAAAAAATGTTGTCGATGGGTTAAACAGGAAAAATCCCTAAAAGAGGGTTTAAAATGACATCCGCACCTGGCCATTACCCACTCTTATATTCTGCAAGGAGGGCAATCACAGCTGAAGCAATGTTCTTGACTTAAACAATTTGGAAATACCATTGGAGAGCTATCTACAGCTCCTTCAAGATGGAGTTAGGTACGTGCCTAGTACGATGCATTTTAATTCCCTAGTAGGAGATACTAAACTAGGTAGACCGTTGGGCGGAACCGAGATAAGAATAAAATTGCAAGGACGAATAGCCCTTGAGGCTACTTAGACTCCGCCATTTTATCAAATAGCTCCACTCTTAGGCTAATATTTATAAAGAAGTGATTGGAATGCGGAAGGCCCCTGGTAAGGCGCAGCATTCAGCCTTTAACAACAAACAGGTGGTAAACTTCCCTTCTTCAATAAGGTATACAAAGGCACTGGTTTTACCATGATGCATCGTTTACGATGGAATCCATTGTCCTCTGAGTTACGTGATGCATTAATGCCTTTTGTTTCTGACTGGTGAGCGATGTTAAAAGCACCAAATACGCTGTGAAAAAGCGCAGGATGCCAATAATCTTTTAAGCTTCCGCATGTGAATAGCATGCCTGCCTGCATGCCGACGTAACTTCAAGGAGGACCGGGTGAGCTAACCTCCGAGTGCTGCGTAAGTTCAAACAAATAAAATTGGTTAAGGTATACGCAAGCAAAACCAATTGAGGCCACTTCAGAATTAAATATATATAAATTGTGAATCTTCCTGGTTTCGAATCCAGCAGTGATTGTTATATCAACATCAGACACAGTCTGTTTTACAAACCTTGTTTTGTCACGTTTAGTGAAAGACGTACGCAAATGGCTGCAAAATTTTGCAGACATATAGCATTTGAAAAAACCACAATATAATTTTTTTGCCTGATTTAGGCAAGGGTTTACACAAACCGTCCCAATATAAATTATTTTCACTTTACTACTTGAATGCCTCAGGACCAACAAGCACTTATCTCACTCAGGTGCAACATTGGCAACATTCAGTTAGTAGATTTGACTAACATAAATGCAAAGGACAGCGGAATAAAACACCTAGTATTAAATTTTTGTTTTAATTTTTCAACGCTTCAAATATGTCCTTTGCTGACATGAATAGCCAACTAGCCGCCTTGAATCTCAGCTGATTCAAGGGCGTTTCGGAGTTCATTATTCGGAGGGCCTTTTGGGTTGGCTTGTTCTTTAACCTCTTATCTACCAATTTATAACCTATTTATGTAGGTTGCTTGTCGTATTTGTTATGCCTATTCCTTTTTGTAGTTAAGTACTTGGCATTAGGGGTTATTTTAGAATATGCGCTTAGTAACCAATACCCCTTCCCCTCTTCATTTGCTTGCCATTTTCTCTTTAATTTGATATCAATTCTTTAAATTTGGCCTCCATTATAAGTATAATACTCATAATACAGTGCATTTTTCGTGCTTTCTGGTCTTACAGTTCTAGAGCCAAATGGGTGGTTGTTTGTGATATTTTCGGCATCACACCTGCATTTGCTGTTTTAATTATTATTAGAAGTGAAATTTCTGTTACTGTGCATGCATTGAATTTTTTCGAAATGTATGGACTTCTTTAGATACGCAACTGAGTGGGTGATTTTTCACTTTTAAATATCCATTACTTCTCCAAGCAGTTATTTCCTCTGAACACTATCGCCTTAATCACTAAAAATTTGGGGCCGAGTTTGTATTGTTTGCTGACCTTGTTGTGCCTTCAGATCTTTTGCACTTCCTCCTAGCCTTCTTTATATCAACCTTTCTGTCTCTCTTAATGTCCTGCATAAGAAGGCGATAAATGTGTGGCCTCCGACTATGTTATAAACTGTACCGAATGTGCGAGGTTTTCAAAGCCTTCATTGAAGATTTTTGTATTCTCTATTTCGCAGAGCCAAAGGCATCGATTAACTATGGATAATTGGCAACTCGTCTACAGCGATGGTGAAATTGTCGATGCAGATGATACTTCAAGCATTTGTATGTCACATCACTTTTTTTCTCCACCCATTTTAAATTTTTGTGCCACGTTTGTACCCATGTACTGTGGTTTCAACCTTCGGTCTTTGCTCGTACCACAAAGACGCACTATCGCTCGTGCACTTTAAGCACCTAATTTAAACCCGTTTTAGGGCAACTTAGGTATTTCTCCTGTCCTGTTTACTGCATCTGAAATGTCTCGTCTATTAGGGTTAACGGTCGATTTGTTTTGTTTTTGCTGTTCCCATTGGATGTCGATGC